TGAAGGTCATAAAAGGCAAAAGATGCTATTTATCATGGAAGGTAAATAACGCTCTGTATCAAAATGTTGACATTTCTTGTCTTTGGTCAGTAAGTGTTATTTCTTAATTGGTTCTGTCTAGAAAGCAAAGGAAATGACTATTATTTCTTTCAAACCTGAACAAAGGGAAAATAGGGCCAGGCAATTTGCAATCAGGCAAATTTGGGGGGAACCAACTGACCACTCAAGCAATTGCTTCTTCTGCATGGTGGACACTTGCAAATGTCGAGCTTGTAAGAATTCACCTGCTATCATATGTATTCAGACCTTCTGTGATCCATCGCTTCAGTGGCACACTGCCCTGAGATCCTAGTATCCACTTATCCAAAGAGAGAGCAAAAAAGATTCAGAAGAGGACAGCAATTCTGAAGAGAATGAAGTCATTGATCGAGATTAAAGAGTTGGAGCTGAGGAGAGAAAACCGTATTATCCCAACCAAAAAGACCTCAACGACATGATCATCGATCTTGGTCTCTAAAAGCAAGCTTATGACGTTGACATTCAATCAGTGCAATTTGTTAGATGAATGTATGCAAGTCGGATACAGTGTCACCAGTGTTTTTCAAGCTTTTCCACCAGTCAAAATGGGCTTTTTGAGACAACTGGAATCGCCTGTAACCCCAGCGAATGGCGTCTTTTCGACAGCTTATGCAGAAGCCTCTGTTCTGATTCCTACGACCTCCTCTGACCCACTCAGTGCAGCTCAAAGAGTAATACAGCAGTGCCAAGATCTTTCTAGATGCCTTGAAATCTGTAAAGTACGATTGGAAGTTTATCGGAGACTTCAAAATTCTAGTCTTCCTAATAGGCCTTCAAGGCGGCTTTACCAAGTTTCCGTGTTTTCCTTTAAGACAGCAGGGACACCACGGCACACTACCCCTCAGGCGGAACTGACCCCAGTAAACTGAATTCAATGTGGGGAAGAACAACGTCAAAGGGCAAGCCATTGTTGGAACCCATGGAAAATATTATTTCCTCCACTGCAGTTAAAAATTGGGCCTCATAAAACAATTTGTTTCTGATAATTTTTATCCTGATAATGAATTATATGTCGATTTGTTCGTATTTTGCGTGAACGAGACTGTTCACATTCCCCAGTTTTCTCAATGGGAAGAGGCAATTTCAGTTTTCTGAATGGGAAGAGGTAAATTTCAGAAATATCATTATCCTAGTCACAAAAGCAAAGTTTAAAGGAAATATTACCCACTTTCTAGGCGTAAGCAAGTAGGCAAAACAGCTGCTATCCAAGGTCAAACATATTGTTACACAGTGAATTATTACTAAGTAAATATATATAGTGATAACAGAGGTAAATCAGCTCTTGATAATAAATGCATCCTTACTTCCCTTAGTGATTTTAATATTATATACAAATAAAATGAAGGGCATCATTGTTACTTTTATTTAGACAGAATTAGTTCCCGATCAACGCACCCACCTCTGCTAGTTTATATTTGTTAGAATATACTCTTAAGAATATTAACATTGCTTTCCTCCCTTTACACAATGATTACTTCCCTTTATTCCGTGACGTAAATGAGAAATTAATTACCACGATCAGAGTAAAAAATGGCTTTTTTTTAAATGAGTAAACAATGTAATTATAAAATTTATCTAGAAAATAATTATCTTATAAAAGTAACTGAGGATCAATTTGGTAATGAATAATAAGACAATTAATTTTTTAAATATTATTTTTAAAGTTTATTATGTAAATTAATCTCCATTAAGTAAGAGTCACTTTGCCGGACAAGATATAAGACACATGCTGCGATTAATAAATGACAAAATTTGTTTTACGTAATTGAATACACACATACACAGAGAAAAATAAGTAACTTCATATACTAGGTTGGCCAGAAAGTCTTGACTCACTTAGGAAGCAGAACGAAAACAACAAATCTTGGATCTCTGGGAGAATTTCCAAGAAGTAATGCATTTCGAGTTTGTTCTACACATTCGCACCATTAACGCTAATCTGTGTTGCCAGCAGCTAGACTGCATGTAGGACAAATTAAAGAAAGAGTATCCTGCTTTGGTCAATCGAAGTTGGGTTTTGTTTCAACAAGACAATGCAAGGTCATTGCTGGGTTGACTAAGGAAAAATTCAAACAGATGGACGGTGTTGAAATTCTTCCACGTCCATCATTCAGTCGCGATGTTGCTCCGAGTCACTATGGAATATTGCGTTCAATGGCACACTTCCTCCGCGACTAGCGATTCAACACGTTAGATGAAGCGAATGAAGCTTGTCTGCATTTTTTATTCAAAGCCGATTGGTATCTGGGACTGATTCAGATGCTGGCTGAGATTTGGCAGAATATTATCGAGAATGATGGACTTTATTTTGAAGAATAAATGTTGGTGTTGCACCGTAAAATTTTGGTGTTTTGTTTCTGCTTTCTGAGTGAAGTATTTAATTAATTTTCAGGGTTTTAGCGCGTATATATCCATACATACAGCGCCCTCACACTTAAACACTAATACACAACTACCTGCCCCATAATAAAATATTTGTAGATAACAGCTGTCATTCTAAGAATATCTAATCGTAAAACACGTCTACAGATAACGGAAGCACTTTATATAAAGCAGTTTAAGCCAAGTTTCATTGTTAACCTCTTTGAAAACAGAAGAATCGTGTTATACATGGAATTATTGCGGCTTAAAATTACTATTGCTTCTACACAATCCAATGTGTCATAAACACAGGAAATATATTAATAACGAATCCATTGAAAAAGGTTAAAGGATTCAATACAAGCGCTTTAGACAGTAATTACTACGGCCATTTTCTACATTCTCTTAGTCTTCAGGAAAAACAAAATTAATAAAAACTTATAAAATTTTCCTTGTTTGTCACATTGAATCAAATGAAATGGTAGACAAGAAAAGACATTATTAAGAAATTGCTGATTAAACAGCTACACGAAAAGGCAGTTAAAGATAAAACGAAACGGAGAAAATGGAATGAGAGGGAGGTAACCCTGCCATAACGTAATTGTTTTTAAATCATTTCTTTAGTAATTTTAATCTTTCTCCTCGTTTGCCTCACAGTTGGAGCCTTGTGTCAGACTGAACTAAGACTGAGTTCTACAAAACTGGGTAGTTGAAGTTGCAGAAACGTTAGATTAAGGCACTGACAAGATTATGTCGAAATTATTTTATTTGTAAAATTAATGCTTTTTTATCATTAGGTTACGGACTTATTGATTTATATTCATAAACGTTTCTTGTTAAAAATAGATTATTTTCTCACCACGAGGCTGTGAACTTATTGATGTATGTAAATAATTTTTTTTGTGTAAAATAATTTCTTTTTTCTCATTACTGTTAAGGGCCTAATAGAAGGTGGGTGATGTGTTTATTTTTTAAGAAAATTTTACCAAACTCATTAAAACCACCTATTTATTAAATTCTGACTTTTTGACACTTTACGTGATTTCCCGACCTCGCTTTTATAACGATTCCACTGTGGATTGCATAGTGATAAAAATTCTGACCCCCAATTGTTAAGACACCGTCATGAATTAGGCGCCTAAGAAAAGACTGTGGACTTGTACATCTACATAAATAATTTTTGGCTAAAATAAATGGTTCTTTTATGTCGTTATGCTTCAAACTTATTGATATACGTACGTAGATCAACGGATATGTGTATTTTATTGTGCATTCGATTATTTAGACTCAATTTGTACCCAGAATCACGTTTGCAATGTCAGTTAAGATCCAATTTCAGAGAAGTAAAGGTTTTCCCATTTGGACGTTTTTCAAGTACCGAGAGAAGACAGCAGGAAATGACAATCCAGTGTACTTAAACATGGTTGAAAAGTAGAGATCAGTTCTTTATATGTGATTGGTCCGTGACGTAATTTATAAGCATCCGTTCTATTTGCGGCTGCTTGAAGATGAAGGGTCCCTTGTGGCGCGTCCGCATGTACAGAGATCGAAGGTAAATACCACAAGGATTTCTTGCATTAGAAAACAGAATTCGTTTTTCTTTCTTTTTTTTTTTGTTTTACTAAGAACAAAACAAACACACATACAAACATTTCTGAATCCCTAATTAAGACTTTGAACATGGAAGAAGAATTTTGCAATTGAACGAGTTAAAAAAATACAAGAGAATTAAAATAAAAAAATAAAAATAAAGTTCTCATAGTTTGCTTTGATAGCAGAATTCCGACTTGAAGAAACGCCAGAATTCCATTCTAACAAAATCCTTCTCTTGCTGCAAAAGAGCTTTTTTTTCCAGTCAAAAGTCAATCATTATCTTTTTTCCTTATCCTAATAAACTTCACTTCCTACCACCTACTCTTGCATTCATATCATGCACCTTATTTATCATTACTATTCCGACCGTAATCGTCTATCTTGAGTGCCTCTCCAGCCTTGATTTAGGTGAAATCTAATAAAATATAAAAGAACGTGCGCAATTCTGACTTACATTTTTCTTTAATATCTATAAACTGTGAAATTCAATGATTATTCTTGAGAAAGAAAGTTGGATTTTTTTTATTGCCTCTGTTTCGGTTTTTAAATAAGATTTTTATTCTTCAATTAAACTTGTTGACAATCAGGCTAGAGATATCAAACTGTTTTGTTATTTAACCCGTAGCTATGAAGAGTAAATGGATGTGCGAAGTGAATTTAAACTGTTTCAAATCAAATTTGGACAAGATTTATTGATTGAATCAGTTTTTACTGCTTATCAACCCTTTCCAAGTTATTTAAAGCCAGGAAATATTTTTAGACTTGAAGAATTTTTTTTAGATAATAATGAATTAGTGACACAAGTCTTACTATTTAACTCATAACTGGGGGAGAAGAAGTGGATTCATACCTTCCCCAAAGGTATTTGCGCGTAAGTGAATATAACAAAACAAACGGGAATTGGAACTCGGCTCTCCAATTAACAATTCCGTGCCATTATCCATTACATCAGCCGCAGATCCTAACTTACATTTCTTGGTATTCCCAAGCGGTCACCCATTTAGGTACTAACCAGGCTCGACGTTGCCTAACTTCGGTGATAGTACGGAAACCGGTGTTTCATACTGATGTCACCGTAAGCCGATAACTCGATAACTTGTCAGTAGATATCACTTCGAGAAGATAGAATAAGTGCTTATCATCAGCATTTATAAAAAAAAAGAAGCATATAAAGCGGTGATTAATTATTGGCATGAATTGTGCAAATATAATCGGTTTAGGGTTAGTGATTATAGTCAGCGATGGAACTGGAATAGAATTGGATTCTGATTAGAAAGAATTTATGAGAAGACGTCCCGAAAAGTGAAATTGTTAAATAATAGTTTCAATCTATTATGTTTTAGTGGCAGTGTATTTTGGTCCAGACCTTCTGAGACTGACCTTTAAGGTCAGATGGTAGACGAAATAGGTTGATTGGCTGAGTTGAACGTCGGAATGAGATAGAAAGTGATTTCGATGAGTTAGTTTTACACGTCAAAGCATAGGACGGAGTTATTTCGTCTCTCGGGGAAATTGCTACACCAGTAGGGGGGAGGGGGTGATTAATAAAATAGATAAGTTTTCAAATTCCTTTTGTTGATGTCTCTTTTATCTCCGGACATCAAAAACATTTCGACACTCGGCAATTGTATTGCAGAAGCAGTGGAGATTGGTTGGGGAAGAATATAATGCTTTAGGGATATACAAAAATTATCGAGAAAATTAATTAAAATAGACAGTGGCTTGGAATGTTCGTTAAACATCCAGTTACTGAAGAGCCATTGGATATCAGGTTTACATGAAAGTGAAATCTATCAGTATCTTCTTCATGTAACAGATCAGATAGAATTTACTTTAAGAATGTGTTATCATATTGGAAGACTGGTCAGGAAGAAATAAATGGAAAAGAATTCAATATCAGAGTTTGGCAGAAGAATTTCAACAATATTGAAGAATTGTGCGAGTCTAACTACAAACAATAGCATCTCTTTCTCGGCGTAGTGAAGCAGTTATTAAAGGTTAGGGAAGATACGAAAAATCTCGTGTCGTAAAAAATGACTGCAATTGTTAGAAAGGTTTAATATTGTTATGCAATGAAACAAAATTTGGATCATCACGACCGCAAATAAGTAATGTCAAAAGGACGGTTCTTCCGCTGACACCGTTATTATTTTAACTACCTTCACTCCTCAGTAATGTTTATAATTTTAAAAAGCGATGATTAGAATTTTGAACTTAAAATTTATATATTTTATTTGTTCTTGAGAATTAAAATAAACACTTTATTTATTAGATTGTTTATTTACATTATTTATTTATTATATTGTTTATTGGCATTGTTGACAAAATATTGGTTAATTGCCAATTGATTCGAAATTTTTAAAATGGAAAATCATAAGGATTTCCTTATAATTAGTTCCCATTATGCATAAAAAGTTTTCATATTTATTTATAAATTAGTAAATGATAAATATTGCATTAGTTTTAATTATATTAGATTGCCGTAAATATGAAATTATTTCTGTAAATAAACAATCTAAGAAATAGAGTTTAATATTTTGTTTTAAATTCTCAAGAACAAAAAATGTATAAATTCACTTTCATCGTATATTTAGGATTTATTAAAATTCTAATCAGTGTTTTTTTTTAAAGAATGAACAATGATGAGGATTTTCTTAAGTTTGGTCCACATCATTTTATAGCGGTGTCAAAGGAAAAACTGTCCTTTTGACACTGTTTTTTTTACGGGCACGAAGGTTCAAGTTTTCTGAAAGTTTTTGAAAAAATTTATTGTGATCAAAGATCTAGAAAATATAGGCTAATGAACCATTTATTTAATCCATTCCTTTTATATTGTTAGACTGTCAATGGTATCTAGGATTCATTAATTACTCTTGGCATTATATAAATTACATTTTGATCAATATTTTTACATGTTAAAAATTAATCTTTATTATAATGGAAACACCTCTTGAAAGAAAAAGAAAGATTAGCAGCAGAACCTCAAAAACAAAACTAAGTTGAAGCAAGACGATCACTTAGACAAATGTAGCTGATTGCCTCACAAAAAAGGCTTAAACGAATAAGACTGTAGTTTAAGAAACAGAGTAGTCGTGGAACGAATTAATTAAATGGTTAATTTTCTTCAGGAATTAATTTTGTTTAAATAAAGATAAATATATTATTTGTATAGCTTATTAAAATGACTAAGAGAAGTAACCCCTCATAAATTTACAACCTTAGTTTGGTTTATCTCTATTTACACTATAGAATGTGACACGAAAAATATAAATAAATAAATACACAACGATAATTATTATCTTATGGTAGACGTACAGAAGCCTCTTGAGAAGGACATATATAATAAGATTTTCTTGAGAGATATTTCGTTGTTCTAAAAGATTTCATCTGGTTATATTTTGAGATGACTGCACACTTTCGAACAGATGGTTAAGGAAGGGATCGTTTTGCATCACGCCTATCATTCAAAAAACCTTCTGAAAAGATTATTCATAAAGTGCTAATATTTCACCTGGAAAAACAAGGTGTTAATTATCTATTTATATGTTGCCAATTAGAAATTTTAAAATAGTTTAAAGTAAATGAAGACCTTTGAAGTTTTCTGCAGGATCTTGTTTACTATTTTGCATACTGAACATTGGAAAATGCAATAAAAACAAAATGGACGAATGCAGCTAAGTACGAAAGAAAGAACAAGGAGGAACATTTTTATAGATTATCAATCGGCGATGACCCGAACATACGGTAGTATACTCTCTGCTGCATGGCCGGGTCATCGGCGACTAAACAGATCCCCCCCCCATTAGGCCTTTCTGTTGAGGAGGGTGGCTATACTCCGAGAAGGGGTTAAAAACAAAACCCGTCAGGGGCACATGAATGTTCTTGAAGGGTTAACCGCCATCTAGCAGAATGGGGGTAAACTAGGCTTCATAAGAATGTATGCGACCCGTGTGGTGATGACATGTCATCGCTGGGTGGAAGTCAACGGCCAGGACGGAGAGTCGCTCGATGGAATCAACTGTTACGTGTCGGTGTCCAGGGCGAGCCTTTCAAGTTGGAGAGTATTGACTGCGGTTTGACCTGGAGAGAGATGGTCAACGACAAGTTTACTTGCACAAGACGCGCTACGCATAAATGAATACCTTTCCGACTTTCAATCCAGATATGTGAAAGTAGAAGGAACTGGCTAGGTGCTCGGCTGCACAACGACCGTACGGACCCCACCCACCACCTGGTTATGAGACCAATGATGATGAGATTATTGGCAGTAAAAAATATCAATCTTAAAATTATCTTATCAACTTCATTGTAAATTAAAAATAAGACGATACAATTATAGTAAAATATTTTTACCACTAGATATTAGCAGAGATTTCTTCTTCTTCTTCTTCTTCTTCTTCTTCTTCTTCTTCTTCTTCTTCTATGTACCATTCCCGAAAGGTGATTATGGCTCTCCACAACTTCCTATTTTTTGTATTTCTTAGTCACATTTGTGTTTCTTAGCATCCCTCGCGTTCCTATTTCTGTCATCCATTTTAAATAAGTTCATCAGGTAGGCAACCCGCTGCCTACCAAATTTGTCAAATTTACCCTCGATATGTCCTGTGAATGCCAAAGGTTTTTAATCCCCCACTTATTATGTGACCAAAAGATTTCAGCTGTCTCTTTTTGATTCGAAGTATAAGTGTTTCCATTTGCCTTAAAACTTGCTTGTTACTCACATGCTCTGTCAATACGATTCTCAGCATCCTTCTGTAGAACCATATTTCTGTTGCCTTAAGTCAATTTTTTATTTGTTAAGAAATTGTCCAGCATGTACTGCCATATAGGGGGATTGATATTAATCAGCAGTTTAATATTCTTTTTCTTGTTTCTAACAAAACTGATATGTATTTCTTTTATAAAAAAATATTTATATTGTCTGTTAATTTCCACGTCTTGACCTGAAGTCTTTCATAGAAGTTCTAATTTTCATCGACATTTGACTGATGGAAGGTTTGATTGATTATCTTGATTAATTTTGAATTTAAGGCAACAGCTTTAAGAGAAGGTGCCTGTGAGCTGATCATGTCTTTAAAAGTCTTCATTTCAAGATGGCGATCGAAATTTTGATAAAGATCTGCTCTATTCCAATGATTGTTGTTAATTGAAACGCATCAGCTATGATATCTAGATTCAATTAATTTAATCAAATGTTTTTTGTCACATGACATCGTTTAACATATCAAGATATTACATAAAGAAAACAGTATTAAAATACTTACTGGTTAAACTTAAATTTTTTTTTAATGAAATATGATATTTTCCTCAACACCTAAATAGCGTGTATATCAAAATTCAATGTGATTAGTCAAAAAGTAGTAACATATCACGTTTGATAAAGATAATACATAAAGAAATTTATATTAAAATAGATACCGGTTAAAGAACTCTATAAAGATTTATATATTTTATGCTTTCTTAACACCTAAATAATATCTATCTGAGCTTGTTCAATTATCTATCTATCTATCTATCTATCTGTAAATTAAATTCGATTAATCAAAAATAATTTTATAGCCTATCAAATTTTCTAGCTAGCATAAAGAAAATCATATTGAAATAGATATTCGTTTAATGAATTTAATTAAATTTTATACTTTCTGTAATACATAAAAGTTACACACACACACACACACACACATATATATAAATATGAATAAAAAAGTGAACATTGAAGTCAACACTCAGAGGCGTCGAGCATGAAACACCCTGTCGCCTCTGAGTGTTGACTATAATGTTCAATTTTATATTTATATTTACATACGCTCTATCCCTGATGTTGAGCACTCCCATAAATATAGCACACCTTAAAAAACTATATTTCTTCATATATATATATATATATATATATATATATATATATATATATATATATATATATATATATATATATGAACCTCTAACATCAATTCACTTGTTGTAGTGCTCCAGTCACTTCGTGATACCCCCATGGAGATGATCCAAAGTTCCAAAGTGAAGGTTTACAGGATCCTTGTCACGGCATTCTTCGCTTTATCCGTGTCTTCAAAACGACTTT